CTTCAATACACTTTGCAAGCTCGCTAGGATATCGAGCAAAATCAGAGCATATTTTTTCCTTCATTTCGTCATCTACCAAGAGGTTTTTATCTTTTGAAATTTTCCTAGTGCATTTCATAAATTTCTTCCATAATATCTTGACAGGGTTACTTGCCATGAAAATCTCGTAGCTAAGCCATTCACCATGAAATATTTCATATGAGTAACCTATCTTTTGATATAATATTTCTTGCACTTTTTTAATCGCATGTTCGTAAGCACGCTTATAAGCTTTTCTGCAGGATATCATCATCTTGAAAGTAACACCATTCACTATAATATTCTCTTTTACAAATCCCTTAAGCCATGACTTAGCCTTGTTTTGAGCGTAGTCATCAATTTGCTTATATTTCTTATCTGGGTCTTCGATTCGCATGATTTGACTTGAGGGTTCTGGCTTATACTTCTTGTTATATATGATAAATTGGGCACATAGGCCAATAATAGTTTTTTCGAAATAATGGTATAAATCTAGTTCCTTTCCCAATTCCTTAGCTACATCGGCGAATTCCATTTTTTCACCCTTAGTTGGCATTAATTTTCTACCATGTAAATCAAAAGTGTTTTCAGGGTGAGACACTACATAACTAAAGCGCTCACCTGGTACTGGAATCTTACTATCGTATTTTTCTCTCATTCGACTTATAAACTGCTGAACGGCTTTGTTATCTACATCGGGTTTCCATGCATTGGTCTCTATAAACTGCTCGAAATCCCATTGCTTAAGATTGGTTATGGCATCCCTGAGAACGTCTTCAACAATTTTATGGAGGGAGCGCTCATTATTGATATCCCTGACTTCATTCATAATCCGTTCGCCTATAATCTTAAAAGCTGGGATTTGCCTTATTTCACAGTATCAATTCCTCTAATGAAGGGTTTCTTCAGACTGAAGTTTATTGTATCTTCATGAGGAGTGCCAAAATATTTTTTCTTTCCAGTGAACACTACTGGGAATAATACTTCGTCATAAGCCATCTTAAGATAATCCGATCTAGTTTTTAGTCTAAGAAAGGTGTTTACTTCATTGCGCAATTTCTCCATTACGACTATAGTAATCTTAACCATTTCAGTCCAGTACTCTAGTTTCGAGATTGTGCCTTTCCTGTCGTTGTAGGCTAAATCACATTCCTCATAACAAGAATCTGGACAAGTGAGATATAGGGAATCAGTATCACCATATTTTATCCCAAAACCTTTCTTTTTCACGAATTCTGCAACGAGTTTGATATTTTCTCGTCCAGCCGAAGTAACACCTCTGACGAGTTCTATAAATTTGAACGGGGAATCGCTATTGCCCATCTTACCATAAAATGAATTCATAAACAATTTAATCGCTTTCTGCTTCGAATTCAAAGAATTATGGTCGAAACAAACGGAATCATATTCTTTACTGAAACCATCGTACGATGAACTAATAAAAGGATTCAGAATATCAGCCATTTCGGCATGCTTCTTCTTATCTATTATCGAGGATAAAACATCTTCAATTGCGCTCGCCACTGAGAAAGATCTGCCGATGCTAGTCGAATCCATTCTACTTTTAACTTCCCCATATAGTCCTTTTTCTTTCTGAAAAGTTTTAACTGGGTCTTTACTCTATTCCGCATATTAAGCAAATTTTTTAATATTTTTGGAAACAGACCTTTCTGATCAGATTTATTCTCATGCCGTATGGTCCATGCTCGTACGTCTTGACCATTAAAATGAAATTCAATATTGTGGAGTATTTTGTTCTCTCTTTTTAGCGCATCTGCTTCTGAAAGTCTTGTAACCATTTTTTCTGGCGAGAGATTATAGTTCATAATTATGCTAGGATACAAGAAAGCAAAGTCCAAACCCGTCACAGGACGTTTATTCTCAAGACCTTTCTCAGGAGGGAAAACATATGCTCCTAGATATTTTCCGGATTCTTTCTGCTCAGAAGCTTTCATGGTAAATAAAATATTCTGTGCCCACGCTTCAGCGCCTAAGAGATTACATACTTTTTTTCCTATAGCGTAATAATATGTGTTGAATAAAGTTATATATGCAATCAAAGCGACTTCTCTATAATCATTTATAATATTACATTTGACCATGAGCTCCTGACAACGTAAAGCATCTATAACACAATAAT